GGATTAACTCGCGAAAATGTATTCACTCGTTCTAAGGATCTGATAAAAATACGTATGTATACTTGTACGGTAGTCATTATTGGGCATTCATTTTTTATATGAACCGATAAAAGAGAAGATATAGATGAAAATACTAGTTTGATCCATTTTCTACGTAACTTAGTTTTCAAGTGTATCGTACATATTCATGAGAGATTGAAATTTCGGTTAACCTTATTTCTGTTTTCCATAACCTCAAATTCCATTCGTTTAACCTATAGTTATGACACCGGTTGAATATCTTACGAATTTCCAAATTTTATTGATACCAGAGTAATAACTCTCCGATAATATTATATTAATACTATAGTATTGTAAAAAGTCTTTTTTCTGAATACTTCCTGCGCTACTTTTCCATTACGTTTTAATGAAAGTTCGAAAATTGGCGTTCGTTGTGATCATATTTTGAATTAAGAATGGCGATAAAGAACATCGGCACACTTTTTTTAGCTCTAGAAAAAAAAAAAAAAAAAAGAACAGAAAAGGTAAAAATGAACTCATAACCTACTTGCTCACTTCCCTTTCTCTTTTTACCATGTCTTTTTGTAAGTGTGTTTTTTTGTCCCATTGTAATAACCCAAAGAAGAAGAGCTCTCAGCTTAGCTCAAAAGACCGCATCAAAGCAAAAAAAAAAAAAAAAAGAAAAAAAGAAAACTCAAAAGGCGCGCGATCCTCAGCATCTCTTGGCCGACAAACTCAATTATCTCCCGGCAATCACACGAGGGCCGGGTATTCGTGTTCGGTTAACCTATAAATAAAATTTGCACTGACAGTATAACATGAAGTCGCTCCTGCCAAACGAACGGTCTCAAGTATTCGGCTCCTATCGTATTTTTATCTCGCGTGAGAGGAGCGAGCGCGTGCCGAGCCTTTTTTTACATGTTACTCTGCACCGTTCCATCTTTACTCGATTCCGAGGGCGGGTTCTTCCGTGTCACGGAGGTCATAAAAATGGAAATGGCTTAATGGGTTACGTAAATGATGGATGGGGTGAGTCGTTTTTTTTTTTTTTTCATGCACTGTTTTTTTCAGTAAGGGTGGTCGGTTAAATGGTATAATTTTTCCCCGGCATTGATGGTGGAACGGAGATGTGGATCATTAAAACTATTATACTACGTGATTGTCGATAGTTGGTACTATGGTGGTCAGTAAGAAAAAAAAAAAAAATATATATATATATATAAAAGCTGCTATAAACAGGTGGCATTTTGTCTTCTAGGAGATTTTTACTGTGCAACAAATACATATAGTACAGCAATATGTTGGCAATTAAAAACTTTAATTTTCATCGTAAGTATATGGCAATTTTTGATACTTAAAATTATTGTTTCGTAAAACAAAAACTAGGTAGTGAATTTCACTGTTAAAAATTACGGCCTCGTACAAAAAATCAGTTACCAGTTTAAAGTGTTTACAATGTAGTTTTTATAGTGTTTTGCATCCAGTGCGTTAATCAAAGTTAATAGTAAGATGTTTTTAAAATATATTTCTGAAGATTTCTATTTTTTTTTTTTTTTAACTGAAAGCTAAGTAGCTTACTGTTTATTTCTGAAATGTTGATACCCAGGCGTATAAATTCAAAATAATTCAAAAGTTCTATGGTTATTTTAAATTTGGAAATAAGGCCATGTCGATGTGGTACTAATTATTTGCTGAATTTTGAAAGAAGTAATTTTTGACCAAAGCAAATTTTCAAAAAGGGGCAGGAACGTACGACGGTACGTGTATACAGTGGTCGAGGTGTTGAGGGATTAAGTGCGAGATTTCCCTGCACTTTATATTATGCAAATTTGCTCACCACAGCACAAGCAGCAGGTTGTTTTGCTGTTATTGCGCGGCTCTACGTTCAGTACATGTATAGGAGCTGATGCTTTTCACTCGCACGTATTGTAATGTATATGAGGGTGTACCCAAGCTTCCCCCGTCGCGCCGTGAATTTTAATGGAATAAAACTCGCGAAAGGAGGAACGAGTGCTAATATACGTTGGAATTTATTTCGTTGTGTCGTGAGTGCGTGGCTGCACTTTCATTGTGGGACCTCATTTTGCGTACGTTCAAAGTCGAGTGTATGCGTGTATGGCAATTCAAAGAAAAAAACAAAAACAAACGTGTGTATCATATCTGAATAAAAGCACAAATAACTCGCTAACCGTAAAAAAAAGTTTTTTAATCGTAGAAAAAATTATTGCCTACAGTTCTTACGTAACAGTGTTGAACTGACATTGTGAATATCAAGGGAATACTGTTGAAGAGTAAGCCGTGTATTTTTGGATATAACATGAAACATCTTGTAAGTTCTGAGTGCACCAGCACGCATTTTCAATTGGAAAATATTTAATAATACGGAGATGTAGTTTGAGTTAACAAATTATTGTTTATTTGTAACTTTTATTTTTAGTAAAAACTTGTGTTATGAGATTACAAACAAGACTTTTTTTTTAACACAGTCGCAAGTGCCCTCTTTTTCTTGCAACTAAGGCACGCATTAAGCAAATAAAAAATGTTACAATACGAAAATTAAAGGAATCGCCTGACTATCATATAATCATTGAAAAAACTTATAATGAGGGACTCGTTTGTATACAAACAAATTAATCTCACCTTATGGTCAGCCGTAGTGTAGTTACCTTACAGGTACATGTGGATAAAAAACCTACTATACGTTTGTATCTTTGGTGGGAAATTTTTTTTTTTTTTATTTCGTTAGTTGAAAAATAGCACCGATCAATCAGAGCGAAATAAAACATCGCGAGCGTCTCGGTGCAGTGTTGGTAGTGTATCCGTTACAGCACGTGTGCAATGGAAACCGATAGCATGTAAATCTTTCAACGAACCTGCGCATAGGCGACTCTGAAATAGCCGATGATGCTTCAATTAATCCGACCCTCTTTGCACACAGGGTGTATACACCTGGATATGCGGCATCCATTTGTGATGACTATAGATTGGTGAGCGCGCGGTGGCTCAGTCGGCTAGGTCGTGGATTGGCACGCGGGAGACCGTGGTTCAATTCCCGGCCAGTGCGACTTTACGGGCAAGTACCTCTGTGATTTTTCACATGTGCTTTTTCACCACGCAATGCTCCTCGAGGAGGGTTAGGCGACTTTCTCGCAGCACAAATAGCCTAATTTCTCCCTACCCCCCTCCTAGTAATGGGAGGCCTCCCATCCCTCATCCCTTCCTTCTCCCAAGTGCTAAGTGCCCATAGTAGTGCCCTTATTAAAGGAGCTGGACGTAGAGCACTATAATATAAAAAAAAAAAAAAAGTATATACATTCCGTCTTTGCCTCGCTCTCGCGAATTCGCCCCAGATAAAAGTAATCGCTATGGTCAGACGCGCGGTCTGCCATAGCTCAGTAGATAAAGCGCGTGCTGTCTCTTTTTTCTAGTTGTGAGGGTATAAATACGTATACTCGTCAGATAAGAGTTGTCGGTTTTAGTGTGTGTTGGTAACTCTTTCGCGATGTATGGGGGAGATGAGCCCACGTTCGGTGCTTTTTTTTTAAACATTCACGATATGGTGGACAGAGTCGGTGCGGTTTTGTTGAATCGCACTTGTATGCGTAGCCTATTACAGTTTCGAAACGCGAGCAGTTTATGTAAATCAAGCTTTTTTCTCTTTGTCTAATTAAATCAATGAGACGATTTAAAAAAAACTCCAGTGTATACATTTATTACAACTGTGCTGTGTCTCTTTTTGCGGCCAAACAGAGCGTTTTATGGTATCAGCGTTTAACGAGCAACGCATGAGGAGATAAATTTTTTTATCGTAGAGAAAAAAAAACCTGTGGTGTTGTATACTGCAGCGACGACAAAGAACCGCGCCATGAAAGTGACGAAAGTTTATTAATAGGACAGGGTGGTAAATCCGAGGTTAAAAATATATACACATACACTGGCTCGTTGAAACGCCATAGAGCGAGAAACAGTTCGCGGTGGGTATGTAATTGCGGAAAAGGAGGTCGAGCCGAATAGATAATAAATGCATTCGTGGAAGGAGAGGCGCTCACCGCGTTACGTTTTTACAGCTGTATCCATCTCTGATTTTTTTTCGGCCTCATAAGTAAGCATCGCTAGAACGCATATTTATGGATATACAGCTATGCGTGTAATAGGCTTTATCGGAGGTCATGGCGCTCGTACTTATCACTTCTGCGTGTGCTGGCTCGCTACAAACTATCATTAATCCAATTTTTTTTCACATAAATACGGATGGCTTTTTAATCAGTTTTATTGTGGATGGATCTGATTTATAATATCTCGACTTGAGTTTATGTGATGCCTCGCTGTACTTTGTATTTGTGAGCGTCTCTACAAAAAATTCGTCAATACTGACACTCACTTCATTATTTTTAGGATGGTAGTTTCAAGTTTGTAGTTCAAGCATTTTACAAGTATCAAACAGATTGTATACAAGTGTGGTCAATACATGCCCAGAATTCTAGCATAATGTTTCAAGAAAGTCTTTATGGCCAAACAAAGTAAAACATGAAAAAAGCATAGAATGAAATAAATAATAAAATTATGATATGATATAAATATTCAAAGTTTATAATAGAGCAATAGCACTATACTTGATGTGCACGCAAGGTAACCATAAACAAGCAGTATTGTTGTAACCTTGTTCACAAAAAATTCAACATGAAAAAGATAAAATACAACACATTAAAAAAGGGATTTTTCTAAAATTAGATCACATAAAAATGGTAGTAGTACACATTCGAACATTAAAAATAAACTTACTGTGCTCAATAATTGTGGTTGGAAAATGATATTTTAGATTTTAATTATTGTTTATCGATTGAAACATTTCATTTTATCATTTTAACTAAGTAACAAAATTTTTGCAAATTCTTTTGCATGTGTATGAATGTCGAACTCAAAGTATCTAAAACATAAAACGCTTAGCTCTTCTAAATCTTTACAATTTTCATGAACTTACAGCTCGACTACCACGCCGACAGTCCTCGGAGCGCGAGTCGCGCGACCAACAGATGTTGCTGGTTGACTCGGACCTCTCGCGACTACCACTGCCAGACCTAGTGCTCTCCGCCATGCAACAGATGCCACCACCACCACCCCAGGTGACCTCCTCGGCACCCAACAGTCCGACCCGCGACGCGACCTTCCAGTTCCCGGAGTGCGGAGGCATCGCCAGCAACAACACCAATAGCAACACCCACAGCAACAGTAATTTAAGCAGTGCAAGCTCACTGGAGAACATAATTGCCGGCGCCAACATATCGGCTATGATGCCATCGGCGATGGCACCGGTGCCAAGTCCGAGACCAAAGCCCCGTAGGCGCAGGCTCACGTCCGAGGGATCATTGCCGGACAAAGCAGAATCGAGGCTTGAATGCAGCGCCACACACGGTAACTGCTGCGTGCACCATCTTGCCAGTAGCCTAGACGAGAGGGAGTGGGCGACCGTAGGGGCTAATCTCAGGACCATCGCTGACGACTTCCACGCAGCTAAAACCAAGGTTGGTTGACTTTTTTTTTGTAATTACGATTTTGCAAAATGTATCATGAACAGTTACTAAAAAAAAAAAAAAAAAAGAATT